AACTGAATTGATCCTAATCCTGTTGAATTACTCTGTTTTCATGATATTTCCTATGCTATTATGCATTTCCATCCACCCTATTGAACCAATTATCCTTTAATCAGCTCGTATATTGGCCTTCTCCCCCTCCCCCTTTTCAAAATTGTCTTTTGTTGCTTGATGCTTGTCTATTATTGTTATGCTGTTTTATGCTTTTTAAATTGTATGTTGCCTGGGCTTGGCCCCATGTAAGCTGTCCTGAGTCCCTTCAGGGAGATGGAGACAGGGTAGAAAAATAAACTACTTCTTCTTCTTCTTCTTCTTCTTCTTCTTATTATTATTATTATTATTATTATTATTATACTAGTTCTTTGATAAAACTGTCAAAACAAGATTTGAAAATAAACTGAAATTGGAGAACAATTGGAATGAGATACTTGTATTTTATCTTTAGGTGCATGTTTGTAGACCACTGTCATATATTTTATACATAGTGCTGTAGCATGTACCAGAACATAGCAATGGAAAAGCTCAGTAGGACAAGTTCTGTCTATCCATTTCAGCTTATTTTCTGTGCCAATTTTTAACCACCGAACTGTGTCAGATAATGCATGAATTGAAAACTTGATCTAAAGATACAGATACATAGATACAGATACGAATGATAAAGATACATAGAGAAGACTCAGAAGAATTCTATCATTGAATACTGTTCACGTGTTTAAAATGCTTTTGTTGATTTCTTAGATACAAATATCCGCTGGAAATATTGGGTTAGTTTCTTTTGCCCAGCTTGAGGGGAAGTGTATAACAGGAAAGGTGCTGTTCCCTCTTCATAAATGCCAAAAACATGACTGTTCTATGTGTTCAGGCTTAGATTTAAGCAACTCTTGAATGTTGGCAGCAAATATCTCGGAATGGGCATCAGATTGTGTCTTGCAGCTTGTTCTGCCTGAACTGGAGGAATTGACTTTTCTCTGTTACAGAAACAAAAGCATGTAAGCAAAGTTTAAATAAACTCTTTGTTTCACAGATTAACCTAGGACACAGAGTGGGTCCCATGAAAGCAAATGTGCCTGACACAACAGAATAAATGTTTTAAGAGTGTATTGTCTGGAGGCTGACAAAACATTCCTGTAACAAGATGTTTTCTATATTAATCTTAGTGCCAAATATACCAGAGCACCAGGCACAGAGTACAGGTATTAATGCATCTTGTGTTTATACAGAGCAACTGTGGTAGCTGACTAGGAATGGCAAGATTTATTTTTCCCATGCCTGATGAATGTCAAGTAGAATAATTCCTTTTTTCTCCCTATTCCTCCTGCAAAAAGCTCACATTTTTTAATTGAAGCTTTAGAAACTTAACATAGGAATAAAAAGGAATTATTCTCATTTTCACCATTTAAAAAAATTAATTTGGTAAGGTTTTACAAAATACATGATGTGTTTTGGAGCTTAAGACGCCTTTTTGAGGATAACCCTTAAATCTGTGAAAACACATACATTGCACATGCACCTTCCTCTTTTAACTCCTTCACTATTGCTGTGGTGTCCTTGTTCTTTTACTGGGGCCAAGAAGTTGTCTTCCAGTGCCCCTATTTGGAGGCCATGTGGGACCTATCCAGCTCTGTCATCATTGTCGTTGTCACCTCCCCCCTACCAAGAGTTTGTGATGTAATTTTTTTATCATACAGTTTTCAAAAAAAGCTTCCCTAGTTTCATTGACCTCCTAATGCCTACTTCTGTCCTCTTTTTCCCCTGGATCGTTCCATCAACCCAGAGGCTAGCACTCTCCAGCAAGCCTGTCTGACAGAAACCATGCTTCCCGTTGGCAGGAATGGGGCTGGTTCAAAACATAAAGTTGGGAAGTGGATTTAACCTCACAGCCACCTCATTTAACAAGGTGATACATACTCCACCACACTCCCCAATAAAGAACAAGTAACATGTTTGTAGAGTTATATTTTGTGAGTCAATGCATTGTATTTTTCTTTAAACCCAATGCTGGCTTCCCTAGTTTATTCTAGCTAATAGTTGTTACCCTGATGGGTTATTTCTCTGAGCTCTGCTAATTTGTATAAATTGTTCAGACAAAAACGGCCCAGCTACCATATTAATAAAATAAAGTCTACATTAAAAAAATAGGTTTTAAATTCTAAAGAAGAATGATTTCAAAGCAGAAGCTGCATATGCATAGCACCGATCTCCCGTGACCTGCATAGGACCCTGGATGTATTGGGTCAGTTGAGATGTAACTTTAGGCCTTCATCTGGTGTGTTTTTCTAAACTGCATGTAAGTATATCAGCCTGTCCATTTTTTTGTTTAGTTAACAGGATTCTGTCCCTGTTGCTGTGTTTTTGTTCGTCTTATTTATTTCCCACAAAATCCCCAGATGTTCATTAGTGAAAGCTCATTAGTACAACTCTGACTTGACAGTTTTAACTAAGATTATATCCAACCTTTAACCTAGTTTGGGTGTGCATATGAATTGGAGTTCTTCCGTGCACCATTTACAACCTAGGTTCTCCAAACAGATTTCATAGCCATAAACAAACTTGGGCACTGTTTATGTGAGCAGCATGGCACTCAATCCAGTTCAAGGGGAAGTATCCTAAATTATAGATGTGTGAGTGTTTGTGGAGATCAAATATTGCTCAATGTCTGCTAGAATTTCTCTTATAAATGGGCTAATTAGGTCAGGCAGTCAATGCCTAGTTGGCTTATGTGTGTATTTCAGTGACATACCATTTACTGATGGATAAGCCTAAGCCTCAGGCAAATGCTGCCTTATTCATAGTTATGAAGCTAAAGAACAAGAGTGGAGTATACACATTTTGTTTATCCTCAGTTCAACTTCAGATTACCCATCCTTTGTGAGAATTAGGCTTTTAACATCACAAAAATGAGCATGACAGGTTCAGAAACAGTTTACAATTCTGGAGGAAGAGGGAAAATTTTCTGCAAGTTTACAGCCAATGTTTATGGATGGTACCAATTGGCTAACATTTGTGATGTCACAAAGACACTTTTTCTCAACCTCTGAGACTGGTCTGACCCCGTCCACGAGGCAGAGAAGCCTGTTATTTCACTGTATGGAATTAGGATGATGAACAGGGTAAAGAAAGGAATTTCTTTTGTTTATTGCCAACAGTGGGCCAGAAGTAGCTCTTGGTCAGATGACAAGTCAGATGGCCCTGCCAGACAGTCCCTAAATCCCAGGATCTGATCACAGGTTTTCTGCTGGATTATATTAGTCCACACCACCAGATAATCTGGGATAAACAGAAAACCTGGGATCCTGGGATATAGAAGGGCCTGTCTAGAAGGGCCTTTAGAGATTTCTCATTCCTGCTTTGGGTGGGTGGGATGCAAGCCACTCTGGAAAACAATGAAGTTTGCTTAACTCGAGTGATGAATTTTATACCACCAGTGTGTCCATTTTGTCTGGACTAACATGCCATTATCCCTCCTCCAGATTACTGGCTCACAACATCAGTTGCCAAACCTGGATTAAATTCAAAGGAGAGTCATTTGCTCAGCCCCAACCTAATTCCCTTACCATTTTTTAAAAAGCAAATTGCTCTAAAATTTGAACAACTTTCCAACCCTGGAGCACATGCACTGGGAGTTTGAAATCCTGGATGGGGTTCATGCAGCTTTTAACCGATGAGGAGGAGAAAGAGATGGGAAGAAGGAAATTCCAGTAATTAAGATCTAGAACTGGCCTGAATAGGGTACTCTATTTGTGAATATCAAGGTTTTAGACAGAGTATACCATTAGGAAATGGTATTCCAAAAGCAGACTTGCAGGCACGAAAAGCTTGTGTGTGTACATATATGTACCTGGAAGCAGCCCTGTAACTGTGATCTTTCATATCTTTTCACAGAACAGAGGCCATAGTGTTGAAGTGCAGTAGAGTCTCGCTTATCCAACCGTTGCTCATCCAACCTTCTGTATTATCCAACAAAGTCTGCCTCCCACCCGGATCCACAGCTGTTTCAATACATTGTGATGTTTTGGTGCTAAATTCGTAAATACAATAATTACTGCATAATGTTACCATGTATTGAACTGTTTTTTTCTGCCAATTTGTTGTATAACATGTTTTGATGCTTAATTTGTAAAATCATAATGTAATTTGACATTTAATAGACTTTTCCTTAATCCCTCCTTATTATCCAACATTTTCGCTTATCCAATGTTTCGCTGGCATGTTTATGTTGGCTAAGCAAGACTCTACTGTAATGTGATACTGCTGTTTCTAGTTCCATTTACTTGAATATAATATATGAAGCTAGTCTAATAGTCCATCACCTGTCACCAAACACCTTTGGGAACTTTAGTTCCATGAAGGAAAGCTAGTGACATCTTCCAGATAATTTTTGTAAGCTTCAAATAACAGTTCCCATGATTATTTGAGGTAAACATTTAAAGTAGCATGTAAGGTTTGTAGGGTAGATCTTTTGCAAGCCTTGGGATCTTTTGCAGAGCCTTGGGATTTGCCAGGAGTTAGACCTTTACTTATCCACATTTCAAGAAATATGCTTATCACAGACCTTCCTTCCCGCTTCACATTTCCAGTTACTTGACTGAATTTTTCTTGTTTTCCCATGTAAAACTCACAATCACTATAACTATAAAATCATATACTGTAAGTGCAAGAATGATCATAATTCAATTTGTGAGGCAGGGAGCATGGATACTGAAGAGGAGCACAAATCTAGTGTTGAATTCATGGAGGGGGGTGATGTGGAAACAAGGAAATTGCACCTGAACTACAGTTAGTCACACCTCACGCAGGAAAAAAAAAGGAGAAAATGAAACTCATTGATTGGGGATATTTGTCACAAGTCATTAATCTAGAAGCAGAACTATTGACCCCACTGGAGAAGAGTTTCTAAGAAAATTGGTGGCTTTAGTGGCCCACATGGTCATTGTTTTTCAAGATTTACCCATAAGTATATGATTCTTATGGAAATATGTTTTTATAACTCCTGCCATTTTATTTTGCCCTAGGGGGAAGTCCAGGACAGTTACTTATGATCAGTTTAAAGAAGCCCTTCAGGAGCTCGCCAAAAAACGGTTCAAAGATAAGAGCAATGAAGAAGCAGTACAGGAAATGTACAAGCTAATTGAAGGGAAAGCACCGGTCATATCAGGAGTCACGGTATGGTAACTTGACATACAAAGAATCTTGCATTATTTCCCAAAGAAAGCTTAGAACCACAGGCCTACATCCTTTCTATATATATTTCAGATTTCAATATTAATGTCAAAAATACATAATATATTTTACATAGGATTTGTGCTACATTAGAACAGTAAAGACAAATATCACTTAAGTAAAAGAAACATTAAATATTAAATAACACTAAAATAAAATAAAATAAGGTGTAAACACTAAACTAATCTGGTAATTTGCTGTTTCAACACATCCAATTAAGTGGATTAAAAGCAGTACAAAAAGATTAGGACTAAGTACAAGAAAGGCATAAAGGTCATCAGCATATTTGCATAAATGAAGGTACCAGCAACTGGGGGACTGAGAATTTTCCAGTTTTCCAGTGGTGGTTTTGATTATGGGGTGGAGAAACAAGGCTGTAACTGTGTGGAATTGCAAATAAATAGTGAATATTTCATAAGAGTGTTTCGGAAACCTCCTTACACAAGCTTCTAAATAGTACCGCTTCTAGTTGCAGACTCCCAGTTCTCATAAGAAAAGTTGGGTCTACTTTTCAAACTGTGTTGGCTGTAGTGTGTAAGTTTGTCATGCAAACATAATAAGAAACCTAAGTCTATGTGAAATAAGCAATAAATTACATATTTTAAGAAATATAAGTATATAAATATAATATAAATATATAAGAAATATAAGTGAAAAGTTTTAATTGTGTTTCCATACATTTGTTATTACAATTTATGTATGTGTCCATGTCTCTCATAAGGGTTTGGTTTAACTTCCAGTTTGCTAGTAAAACTGAATTGCTGTTTCACAAAATGATGCATGTCTAAAACGTATATTGCCAACATGAAATGTTTTCAAAGCTCTGATGTAAATAAATTGAATTTTAGATTTTTTAAATAATTAAAAAATATCCCATATTCGAGGCCTTTGGGGGCCTAAAAATGACCCTTTGGATTGTATTTTTCCACCATTCTGCTTTTGTTTTATGTGTTCTTAGGAGTGTTAATGGTTTCTCCCCTTTTCCCCTTTTTAACAGAAAGCTATTTCTTCTCCGACTGTCTCACGGCTTACAGACACAACGCGTTTCACTGGTTCCCATAAAGAGAGATTTGATCCAAGTGGGAGAGGCAAAGGCAAAGCAGGGCGTGAAGATCTGGTTGACACGTCTGGTTATGTGTCTGGGTACAAGCATGCTGGCACATATGATCATAAAGTCCAAGGAAGCAAATAAGCTTGGAGATTGACAGAAAAGCGCCTATAAGGGTGAGCTAGATGAGCCTCACTTCTTTTCATTCGCTGTAAATTCCTGAAAAGCCCAGATGATGATCAGTATTTGTGAGATCAGAGACAAGTTTGTCATCTATTGGGACTCTTGCAGTGATGCCCCACTTCATTACATTCCTCGTGCTTTGTGGCAATGAAAAGAAAGCAGCAAAATATTTTGCGTTTTTAAGCAAGAAGCCACATCCAAGGGCTCTCTCTCACCACACCTTGCCCCAGATTAATAGCACATTGCAAACATTCCTCTCTCTCTAGTTTTTTGTCCTGTTCCTTTGGCTGTAGCAGCAACCCTTTCTCCACTAGAATAGATGCTTTGTAGTAAGAACCATGTGTGGTGATAGCTTTTCTAAGAAGAATCCAGTTGCTAAATTTGATTATTTATTACTGAACAATGTCTTAAAAAGAAACAAATAGTCCTGAAGATAAAAATCCAAATTCTAACAAAAGGAAATACTTCTTTTTTAAAAAAAATATTCAGGGCTTTTTTCTTTTTTGTAAAGGTGCTATCTTGGAAAAACAAATATATTTATTGATTCCTCTCCAGTTCTTAACAAGGGCAAGACTAACTCAACGTTTTAAATGATGTATTTTCCATTTAATATGTATTAAAGGGGAACCGAGCCCTCAATTCATCTTTGCTTTCGGAAAGAGAAGATGACAGCTCTCAGTCTTTTCCCCCTCCCAAATCTCCTTAAAGAACATTTTTGTTTTTGTAACACACGTGATATTGAACCTAGAGGTGACGAAATATGAATACAAGGAGCTACTGAGAAGATTTTGGTTCTAACAGTGAATCCTATTGTTAGTTGCAATTAGAGTAGACACACTGAATTAACAGAATTCAACTATGTGTTGATTGACCATTCAAAAATGGATTCAATAGTTCTATTTTATTTGGGACCAGACAGTAGGATTCTGGCTATTATTAAATGTGCAGTGCCTCAAACTGGAGTTCAAAAGAGCATTTAAGGTTATGTATTCTTCAGCATCATTTTTTGTGCAACTATCACAAATGACATTTTCATTTAATTAGTGCCATGCGTGGGTGAACACTTATTGAATGCTTGTATGAAAGGTGGCAGTTTGGCCCACCACAAAGGATTGACTTGCATTAAAATCATCACCATTTGGGTCATTTTCTTCAACAACATTTATATTCATAATATTGTTTAAACAGCTTTTGTCTTCCATGTGCAATATAAATGAACACATTCTGTTCTTCCGTTACTCACTGCATTGTAAAATTGGCACAATATTATTGTATTATTAATACAAAAGAAAACAAAAGTAGAAAAGATCAAAAATGGCTCTGTTATTTTTCCCAATGATCTAATTCTTTAGCTTCTTCCAATTAAATGAATGCATAAAATGTGACTTTATTTCAGGAAGAAAAAAGAAATTCTCCATTTATATTGCCTAAAATGGGCAATATAGTTCATAGTGTGATCTTGATACGTTAGATGTTTCTTACTGAATAAATAGTACACTAACTATATTGGGTTTATAATCCAATAAAATAATGGCTGTAGTGTTTATATGGATGTTTGCCAGGAGTTGAGCACTTGGCCTTGTTTTTCTTGGATAAGAGTTCAGTATTTCACCCATCATCTTCAGCAGCTTCTTTGTAGAGAAACAGACATTCACTCACTTTATTACCACTTTTTACAGCTGACTTTTGAGCAGGTGTAACATACACTGTAAACCTGGCTGTTCCAGTTTACTTTTCTTAATCACTAATGTCTCTCCACACAAACTAACACCCTGATTTTGGCTCTTGTCCAGAGACATACCACATCTCAGCTGTAGTTGCTTTTTCCCTAATTATTAAGGAAACTATTTCTTCTTACTTAAAAGTGAATCCAAAATAATAAAAAAATTGTTAAGTGATGCCTTTATGAGCCCAGAAATTTTATATTTTTGAAATGACAGGATTGAGAAAAGGAGGGTTTCCAGGAACCTTGGCACGCTTTCCCAAGCTATTGGGTTTGTTGATTGCCAAGAAAGGGTTTATAGTTTATGTTGCTGAATTCTGCTCATCTGCTTCATTCAAATAATCCTAGTCCCCGAAGAGGCAGATACTTTCCCACAGCCAGTTTCTCAGATGCATGTCAGCCATGTCAGATATCAGTCACAATTCTTTAGTGTAGAGTAATAGAGCAGTGCGTTGCTGTGTATACTTTGGAAACTGGGCATGACACCCTTCTGAAATGTAGCAAAACTTACAAGAAAATCTCATGCTAGTATACTACTCTGAACCTTCAAAACAGCAACAGATCCAAATATTTCCACCTTCAAATTACACTATGAATATGGAAGGCCCTTCTATTATTGTGTAGAGATGAATACATTAAAAATATCTGGGGCAAGCCTCATTTGTTTATCTCGTCTTCCAGATTCCATTGTCTTTTGACGACTGGGGAGAGTACTTTTCTTTGACAACATTATGCACAATTTCCTTTGATAAATTATCTGCAAATGGAATTTGATAATTAGAAAGAGGAGCATATTGTAAGAAGAGTGCTATTGTTGTCATCATGTTGTCTTGGCTGAGCAGGGACAAAGGTTTCCCCACTCAGACAAGACAAACTTTCTGATAACTGCCAAACTCAGCTGCAGGAAGGATTTAAGAGCAGGCGAACTTTATAAATTACAGTACAGCCCCATGGTCTATGGCTTTGATATTCATGATTTCATTTACCCATTCCCCCCAAAATATTCCTCCCTGAAAGTATTTGTGGGTTTCTCTAAGTTAGTGGTGTCAAACCTTTTGTCCTCCAGCAGTTTGGGGCTTCAGCTCCCAGAATTCCTGACCATTGGACAGGCCGGCTAGGGCTTCTGGTGTTGCCAGAAGTACAGCTTACTGGTGTAACATTAGAAAAATGTTGACCATTTCTGCTACCTTGGCAGTCACCTCTCCACAAAAATCAGCATCAATACAATACCGTCTGAGCTCTGTGCATGCAGGCTTTTTCCGAATGAAGCAGAGGTGTTTGTTTATAAAGCCATTGTCTTCCCAACCCTGTTATATGCCTGAAAAACATGGTCTACAGATGTCACACTCCTGGAATGATTCCATCAGCATTGCCTTTGAAAAATCCTGGAAATCCCTTGGGAAGACAGGCAGACAAATGTCAATGTGGTGGAAGAAGCAAAGACACAGCATTGAAGCAATGATCCTCCGCCATCAACTCTTCTGGAATTGCCATGTTGTCCAATTGTCCAATCACCATCTCCTAAAGCAATTACTGTACTCCCAACCCAATGGAAAATGGAATGTTGATGGGCAGGAAAAGAGATTTAAAGATGGACTTAAAGCTAACCTTAAAAACTGTGGCATAGATACTCAGAACTGGGAAGCCCTGGCCCTTGAGCGCTCTAACTGAAGACTTGAATGGAAGGCAAAGGGGAGAAATGTGCCAAGAGGAAAACATGTCAAGCCAACCCTGACCGGGACTGCTTTCCACCTGGAAACCAATGCCCTCACTGTGGAAGAATATGTGGATCAAGGTGGCTCTATAGCCACCTATGTATCCAGTGCCAAGACACAACACTTGGAGGGCCATCATACTTGAACAATGAGAGGTCGCCTAAGTAAGTCTGGGAGTTGGAGTCCCAAACACGTTCATGGCCACAGGTTTGTCACCACTGCTCTAGGTCTTCCAGTGCAATTCTATGGCATGCTTATGACAAAAGTATAATCAAAATAAAAGTTTTGCTATTATCCATCATTTCAGACACATAGGGGCGGGCATCTTGTAATTCCAGTATGGGTAAACTAAGGCCCATGGGCCAGACGTGACCCTCTGTGCACTTACATCTGGCCCTCCTCATTTTCCCTGTCCTCTGGACACAAAAGATGCTGAAAGGACGGGGGAGGAAGGCATGTAGCAGCTAAGAGAGCTCTGGAGGACTCCCAGCCACTGCCTGCCTTCCTCAGGCCCTCCTAGCATAAGGACAGGACTAAGCAGCCCCATCTTTATGCCAGGAAGATAGCCCCAGTAAGGCACACAGCAGCTGGGAGCTCTCCAGAACGCTCTCAGCCACCACCTGTCTCATCCTCTCCTAGTATAAGGATGAGGCAAGCCATCCTGTCTTTATGCCTGAGGATCAAGGAGGAGGATTGGAAGGATTGGGGCTGTCACTGTGTGTCTTGCCCTCCTCCTGGCATAAGGATGGGGCAAGTAGCCCCATCCTTATGTTGGGAGGACAGCCCAAGGATGACCCGGCCCCATGCAGCATGTCCCCAACCCTCCCTTCCAGCCCAACCTTCAATGTGACCCTACATGGGCAAAAAAAATTGCCCATGCCTGTTTTAATATATCCTCGGTGGATAAGGGATTTTTCAGTAATTCACTTATTAGAGTTATTGTTATAATTCCCTTTCTAAAAGTTCATGTTTGCCTGATTTCCTTGATTAGGATACTATTAAAGATCCTACCTTTGCTGAATGGCATGGTTGCAAAAAGCAAACACATTTTTGGGTCAATCTCCCCCCCCCCAAAAAAAAGTCCCAGTCAATAGTGCTGAGATAACACATGGCATCCCCATTTCTCATCCTGATCCCCAACCCCACCTGCTCCACATCTCTTGGCCTTCTGTGCCCCTGGCATATAGCAGTCTGTATCTAGGAACGCACTGTCCCTCTGGCTCTCTCAAAAGATAGAAGGGAGAGAAATGTGAAAATGTTATTCAAATGTGAATATGATAGAGATCACTCATCTATAGATACTTATTTTTTAAAAATACTGATTTACAGTACTAATGTTGACAACTTTTTTCAGGTTGAAGAAATCGTATTAAGCACACAATATTCTTAGCATGTCATTATCTGCAACATAACTCATAACAAGGTATAAAAACCCATAAACTATGTTTATATAAAATCCCCACAGTGCATGCTGACAGGATGCCATGTATACAGGTATTGCTAATTATTCACTGTGACCTGGAGAATATGTTGTGTGCACAAAATGCAGTGCAATAAACAAATGGGCAGGTATTTATGTAAAAAGTTGTGTATATATGCTGAAGTTCTCCCGAGATTTGGATTGTGCCTGTTGGTATTTTTATTAGTCATATAATTACTGAAGCCCAACCTCTCTTGGATTCTGCATGTAATCCAGTAGGTTCCAGTGTGTACTGGGTTTGGTATACTGAAAACACAACTGCACTTCCTGAGTGTTTAGTTAGCCTGAAAGGGCTGTATCTGGTTAGCCGGGCAAAATTCAGAGGAGGGACAGGTCAAGAGGTAAAGCCTTGGCAGAATGACCAAGTATGTAGTATTTACTCTTATGTTATTACATTTACTGTGAAAAATGAGACAGAGGGTGCTTGTTTACTATTTGTGGGCTTTCCAGAAGCACCTGGTTGGACAGTGTGTAAATAGAACATTAGATGAGATAAGCCTGAGACAATAGAGATGTTATTATAGTTTAGATCAGAGAATCATGCAACCTTATATGTTTCTTTAAACTACATGTCCCAGCAGTCCTAGTTAACATAGTCAGTGGTGAGAATGGTGAAATTGCAGTCTATTGTCTGGAGGGACACACGATCCTCATCCCTGGTTTAAATATATGAAGCTACCTTATACTTTGACCAGTCTCATTCAGAACTCTCTTTTCCAAAACAGTTAGCTAAGAAACAAAACAGAAAATCTCACTCCAGTATAGCTTTCGCTGCTTGAAGAAGGGGCCTAATGGGGCACTCAAATTCCACAAGTACCCCTCCCTTTCCCTGTAAGTAAAACATAAACTATTACCAATTTTAGTGGTAGTAGTAGTACTGAAGAAAACGTCACTTTGCTCATTATTACTGAAACTCCAGACTGATTGCCTGTGGCAAACCTTTTGTTCTACCTAATAGTAGGGTCTACTCTCTATCATGTTTAACTGGAGATGCCAGAAATAAACTTGTCCCAAACACACATAAAGCAACTGTCCTACCACTGACTTGTGGTTTTCTAGGTGGAAAAAAAGGGTTCAGCAGTGGGCCATTTTCGCAAGACACAAGGGAGAAGGGAGCAAGCTTGTTTTCTGCTTCCTTGGAGACTAGGATGCAGAACAGTGGCTTCAAACTACAAGAGAGGAGATTCCCTCTGAACATGAGGAAGAACTACCTGACTCTGAGAGCAGTGGAACTCTCTGCCCCGGAGTGTGGTGGAGGCTCCTTCTTTGGAAGCTTTTAAACAGAGGCTGGATGGCCATCTGTCAGAGGTGATTTGAATGCAATATTCCTGCTTCTTGACAGGGGGTTGGACTTGATGGCCCATGAGGTCTCTTCCAACTCTTTGATTCTATGATTTTATGATTCTACAATTATACTACAACTGGCTCTCTACACTGACTTTTGTGGATTTGATTATTTGCAGATTTGATTAAAAATGTTCTTTCTAGGAATCTTCTGTCCTCCATTGTGACACTACGGTCAACCTCTAGCAACGTTGACCCTAAGAGTCATGTTAAGGATCTAGAGATCCCCCCCCAAAAGATGTTATCCCAGGTTTTTACTTTTGTGGGGG